TGAACAGGAAACCGCCACTCTGTGTTTCGGCGGAGTAACTAGATGCCATTCAATCTCCGCTTTTCTCTCCTACAACAAAAGCTGCTTGTCAATATCCCTCTCTTGTACTGTTTGCCAGCCTGGAAATAGAGAGTGATGGCACCATTTAGAGCCAAGAGTGAATACACTGTGACATAAGGTCCGACAATAGAGCAGACAGTTTCTTTTCACCAGTGACCTAAGATTAGACATCCCACCAGGAATTCCCTGCTGGAGAGATTAGTTTCTGTGATACAGGCTCGCTCCGTGTGTGTGTGTGTGTGTGTGTGTGTGTGTTTTGTGTTTTTGTGGCGTGTCTACATGAAACACTGGTGCAAATCTATGTTTTATACTTCACAACATGTTATTATAGATCATTTAGGCAGTCTCTGAAAGATGCCCTGTGGTTATTCAATTAATCTGATAAAAGAACGAACAAAAAAAGGTAAATCTGGGTTACAATTGTCAGAATTCAATAGATATATTCCAAATACCATGCAGACGGAGTTTCTTTAACAAAATATTAGTAAGTCATGATTTAGAAGTGTTGATAGCAATGTGAATTTCAAAATAAACGCAAAACAAATTAGAAATGCAGTCGCATTATTTACATATAAATCCATCATTTAGCATTTGATTATTTCATGTCCACATTCTTTATAAGTCGGCCTTTTAAGATGTAATGAACCTACAGTATTATATTTAAATATTTGTTTATCTAATTATCTTTTTTATGTGTAGCGGGTGTCATTAAATTATGCAATTAATAATCATTTACCACATTTCTACTCAACACGCTACACAATCTGTACTTATCTTGTTCAGTTTGATAGATCTGTTTATTTTGTTACAAGAAAATACATGTGTTTGCTGTGAATGCACTAACATAATTTCACTATTTAATTCATTGGCTTGAAATCAGGGAATGCACAACATCAGTTCATTTTATAAGTCAGCCTAATCAATCAAAGTCACATTGTAGTAATGCTAATCGGTGGGAGGCGATTAACCAATCGGATTCCAGTGAGACTCAGCAACAGCTTAGTTTATTTTATGGTGGACAGCTATGAAGGAATTATGAAATAATCACCAAATATAATATTTACAGACATGATTTCTTTCTGTATTTACAGGTGAGGAACTACATTTTGAAGAACGCAACAACCAAAATGTCTCTGATTGTGAAAATCAGTGATTTAAGCTAAAATTATAAGCTCTATTAAGACCTGTTGTACCTTTTTTTTTTTTTTAAACTGGGGTTTACGTACTGACTTTTTTAAAGGAGACGTGGGAAAAAGAGCTAGCCATGGAGATCAGCAACGAGGCTTGGAGTGAAGCTTGGGAAAATGCTAAATATTTGAGTGTTTGTAATAAGGTAAAAGCTACTCAACTTAAAATGTCACATCGTGGCCACATACCACCCCGTCTATGTCGCCGATTTAATCCAGACCTTTCTCCGCTTTGCCCCAAACGTAGAATAGAGGTGGGTAAATCTAACTCACTGTCTTTGTAGGAAAATTCAACAGTTCTGGTTCAGTATACAGGAAGAGTTGGACAAGATCTTTTTCCATTAGCACCGAGTGTAATCCAATGTATATGTTACTGGGATTCTTCAGAAGAGCTGTGGAGAAACACCTGTACAGGACGCTGACACTCTGTCAGCGTCCTGTACAGGAAATGTCTGAGCTGGATAACAGATAAGGCTCCATCCAAAACACAATGGCAACAAACTGTCCTTGAATTTGTGTTGTTGGACTTTCTAACTAGTAAATTACACAACAGAGAAAATGTGTTTCATAATATTTAGGACTCCTTTGTACTGTATACTGGTCTGGATATTTCTGCTATTTTTTTCCACACAGCCTTACATAATATATTGCAATAATGTGTCTTCATTTCTTTACTTTTTTGTGTGTCTGAGCCGGGGTGATGTTAATGTTGATGTGACTGTACGTTTGCTTGTTTTATCTGTATTAAAATACAGAAATAACCAATGGAAAAAAACAACACTAACATAACGACATGTGATTTTTACAGTATAATGACATTAAGGCGCCATAGCATCGAGGCAGCGCTGGTGAAAGCTACATGGCTAAAGATAACGGACTTGTCCCACTCAGAGCTGCAGCACAGTATTTCCTCAGAAAGGCTCCAACATGCTGTCGGGTTCAAACGAACATCACTCGGCCCAAACAGATTCATTTGTTCACGTGAATCATAAATCCTCACAGCACTGCGGGGTTTTCTGTGAAGTACCACAGGGTTCAGTCAGTTCTCTTTACTTCACATTTGATTCCGATTGGTAAAACCATCAGACAGCACGGGATGCATTTCCACTGTTTCGCTGATAAAACTCACCTATATTCAGAAATCCCACAGAATCCGATCTGGTAAGTAGACTACAGGTATGTCTGGAAGACATAAAAAACCCTAGATGTCTGAACACTTTCTGCTTTTAAATACAAACAAGACAGAAGTTGTCGTCTTTGGAGCCGATCTTCCGAGAAGCAGACCGGTTCACCGCACTGCGTACCGTTAAGCTGGCATCTGGTAACAAATGGAGAACCTTGGTGTCATCCTTGACCACGATTTATTTAAATCCCATATAAACCAGTTTTCTAGGACCTTCCTCTGTCACCGCTACAAAATGGTGAAAGTTAGAAATATCTTGTCCTGCAGCAAAATCAGTCAACACATCTGTTACTTTAACCTGAACTATTGTAGAATAATGTACTTAAAAACTCGGATGGAAATTAAAAACGGAGATCATTGCTGTTCTTCACTGGCTCCCTGTTGAATCCACAATACTCCTGGTCACATATAAATCCCTTAATAATCAAGATTTGGTTGTTCCATGTGTTCCTATAACAGAGCGCCTCACTCTCAGTCTGCAGGACTGGTTCCTAGAGTGGGAGGCTGGTCCTTTAGTTATCAGGCTCCTCTTCTGTAGAACTAAGGCCCAGTTTTAGACACCCTGTCTGCTTTTCAAGACCAAACTTTAAACTGTCGTTTTACATAAAGCTCAAAGTTAGAGCGATTAGCTTGGGGCTAATCTGTGTTGCTGTGTTTCTCTCCTAGAGGAGGCGTCTAAATGACCGACTGCTGCCAGTGACTTTCCTCTTTCATTGACATAGAAAGTACTCCTGGATCAGCGCTTCTCTGCGTGTGAACGTTTCGTCTTCTGAAACCGACCCAGGTGCCTGCAGCAGATGGAGGTTCTGTCTTCCTGTTAGAGGGGATTTCTCCTCCCCGCTGTTTCTACATGCATGCTCAGTATGAGGGATCTCTGCAAAGTTAAGGACTCAATGCGACTGACTGTTGCTCCAACTGAGGAGGATCGATGGCTGTTATAGCGACTCGATACAATCTGACGGGTTTCCATACTCTTTGACCAATCCGAGTGATAAAATGAACTTTTTTGCATTGCTTAGTAGCTGAAATTGAGTTTGATTATGCATGTAATTGACTCTAGATCCATCAGAACGACCAAACTTACGACATGTATGTAGAAATTGGACGTTTTTCCTAAAGTAAGGTAAGGCAAATTTTATTTATATTGCACATTTTCAGCAACAAGACAGTTCAAAGTGCTCTACGTGAATTAGGAACAAAATCACAAAAGAAAAACAGAAAGAACGCCACAATTTATAAACTAATAGGAGTTAATCTGGATAAACTAACAGAAAAGAAAAGTAAGATTTGCCATTTTAATCTAATTGCAATGCTTTAAACCCCTTAACTATCAAGAGGACAACATGTTTTTGAGGTGACAGTTAAGAGGTTAATTAATTATTTCATGTATTTACTTGTTAATTACATTTTGCTATACAATGTACACAACCTGCTGCATTTTTTTGTTGTTGTTTTATTCCATTTTTATGTGATTTTCAGTGAAATAAAAACTCAAAATAGAAATCTAGATGACATACAAGCACCTGTCGCTTGACTGTGGTTACCCAATCAGAAGAGTCTGACAGATTTCAAGCCTGCATAAATGCCAGACGTCTGTCTGTTTGCCGTCTCTCTCTGGGCTCTGCAGCCTTCCACAGAAGTTCGCGGACGCAGCGCGACGAGCACTCGCGCAGTCTACTGAAGCCCACCGCAATAACCCGTCTAAGAACAGTAAATCCAGCCGGCCCTCACCTCATCGACGGCAAAATCTCAGCTCACGCCGCCCAGCAGCGGCGTCAGAACACAAACACAACCAGAGCGCGAGCCAAAGAGAGAGCTAAAACAAAATCCACGAGAGGGCCACGACCTTGTCTGCATCTAAACAAGCTTATCAAACACACCAGCTTTCTGACAGTCACACATCTAAGCCCTCTCTCCAAATGTAATTTTATCTGGTGATCCTTGAGCTGTCGGCATCCATTTATGTTGTTATTATGCACATTGCAAACAGTCGTCTGCAGCGAGGGTTTCAAAATCCATTTGTTACATCTGAAGATTAACGGTCCTAATCTCGGTGGCACAAGCATGCATGATTCAAAAATACGTCTGCAGAGCCGTGCCCCAGAATGTCAAGACCACACAGATCCCTCCGCAAAACCTCCGTTTGGTGTAATTAGGATTTTAAATGAAGAGGGTGATCCACGTTCCCTAAATACATCTGCTGAAAGCTCCTAATATAGAGCATGTGATTTATTTTCAGATACTAGGAAATGTGGAGTATCACCCAGAACGTTTAAAAATAAAACCTGCCTACACTTCAGGTGCTCCAATCTGAGAGTTATATTCTGATCTCTGCTTAATTTTGACTGGATTAAGGGGTCGGATAACATCGTTCAGCTCCGTCTAATCATGCACTGACCCCGGCCAGACCTGATCAGTGCACACACTAGGTTCAAGTGCTTTTTTTGTGATGACATCGCAACGCAAAAACAACTCTGAAGATGATCTTATGTATCTGTCAGCTGGCTTGGCATTTTAAGTGAGTTCATTCTGCAACCTGGTGAAGAAATCAGAGGTAAGCAGTCACTTACCTTTCAGTTTCTCAATTGCACTCTGCCCTGCTCTCTCGGCCACCTGCCCGTCCTCCCTCTGGTAGCGGTCGTCCAGGAACTGGGCAGTAGCTTCGGACAGATGAACCTTCCCCGCCATGCCCAGCTGCTCCATCAAGTTCGCCAGATTGACGTCGTTCGACCACACGTCAAACTTGAACCTCTTCATACCCAGGATCCCGCACAGCACGGTGCCCGTGTGGACGCCAACCCGCATGTTGACCGTCTCGCACGTCTCCTGGCAGAACTGCTCGATGGCCTGGATCATGCCCAGTCCCATCTCGACACAGCAGTATGCGTGGTCCGGTCTGGGATCGGGACACCCTGCCACGCAGTAGTAGCAGTCTCCTAGCGTGCTGATCTTCTCGCAGCAGGTCAATTCACAGAGTCTGTCAAAACGACCAAACAGGTCATTGAGGAGGCCCACCAGGGCCGGCGCCTTCTTGTTGGCAGACATTTTTGTGAAGCCCACAATGTCGGCAAAGAGGATGCTGACAGGCTCCATGCGTGTCATGTTAAAGGGCCTGAATATTATCTGTCCTCGGGGTATCGAGGTCTTTTTACGTCTGTGATTGCTATGAGGGTTATTCTTTGAACTTATAACACTTTGGCTTTGTAGAGCTCCTCCGCTCCCGCCGCTGCCCACTGCCACAGCCGAGGCAGAGCAGGCGCCGGAGGAATACCTCTTTCCCGAATTCTCACCGCCACCCTCATCGTCGCCTTGCTTCATCAGCTCGTCTGCAACTCGTCTCGGCATGACCGAGTGGATCATCCTTTCCTTCAAGGCCTTCTCCACCTCCAAGTCTTTGCCATGCATTATGGCTTGGCCCACTTTAAGAAAGGTGCTGCGGGATCTCACCTCGGACATGACAAAAAGATGAATGCCAATGACGTGCGCGCACAGGTGGAGTAGACCCTTGCCCGGGCCAAGCCAGAGGAGCGTGTTTTGCAAACTTGACACCTGTCCAGTGGCTTCATAATTCCTCTGAAGCAATGGCAGCCATCCTAACGCTTCAAATAAGACAGAATACAGGAGGCCCAGCATCACTGAGGCATACAGACGGACATGGAGGACGCTGTATACCAATAGCAGGACCTCGATGCAGAGGGAAAAGGTGCCAACGGGGGAGATGCAGGACATCCGAGGCGGAATCTCTTTGTTCAGAGAGGTGTACGATGCGTTCGCTTTGGCAGCCCAGTCATAGGTAGCAGTTTGCATCTGTGAAGCCAAAGTGATGGCAAATGTAAGGACTATTAGCAGCAGGGAGGTCTGGTTGTACAGCCACATGTAGGGCTTGGTGAAGGTGAACAAAAACAAAAGCACCAGCAAGGCCAGAAAGGAGGCAGTGGGGGCGAGGAAGGTCACAGGATGACAGCGGTCACTGTTCACCCCAAAGTACACCCCCCAGAGTAGGGAAGCCACTGCCAGGTAGAAGAGGACATAGCGGAATCGCCTCTGCTTCTGTGGAAAACACCTTTCCTGGCAGGCATCCTCCAGGACGGAGGAGTCAAACTTGGGGTCCCAGCACTGGGCGGCGGAGCGTTCAAACAGCGGAGGGGCCTTCTTCTGCACATGGGAAGTGTAAGTTATGACGGGTCTGGAGTCTGCTGAGCTGCAGCTGGAGGAGATGCTGTACTTGTGGAGGGCAGGTTTCACTTTACTGGCACCCCCTCCTCCTCCACCGCCTCCTCCCACTCCTCCTTCACTCTTTGCAACCCGAAGTGGTTCATGATGCTGTTGCTGCTGCATCCGGGTGGAATTATTGGCAATCCGCACCGTGATGGCGCCATCACCCCTGGCTGAGTCGCAGCTCACCTCCGTGCCGTGCATAAGAAGCTGCCTGTGATGTTGCAGAGTGGCCATGTTGACTAGTGCTGACGAGCGGAGGCGATGGGAGATGGGAGTGGGGTAAGCGGGGGTAGAGGCGGTGGGAGGGGGAGGGGGGCGGTCACTGAGGTGTTGAATCAATCAGTAATTTACTCTGGTGCCGCCGAGTCAAATCAGGGAAGGTGGAGGAGGACAGACACTGACACGGGAGGCAGAACAAGAAAAAAAAGAAAAAAGGTTTTTGTCGGAAAATTAACACTGAAGGAGGAGTGGGAGGGGGGAAAGGGGGGGACAAACGAGTCGGCTACGCGCAGTCACTCACATTAAGACGCTCACAGAACACCATTATCCGAGCCGCAGCTTCGCCTTTGCGTCAGTACTCGCGTTGCACGCATCCCTCTCCACAGAGGCTGTCCGGTGTGCTCTCCAGCTGCGGTGCAAACAATCTCATCATCCCGTCTCCTGCCTCCTGGACTCGGCATCCTTCTCGGCAAGCTGCTGCTGCTGGTAGCGGTGCAACAGATTCCTCTTCTTCAAATGTGCACGACTGGCGATTATCAGCCACTGAATGTGCGCAATTGGAAAGTTTCTCCCATCGTTGCTTAACTAGGTTGTTTGAATGAGGAATAATAATAATAATGATGATAATAATAATAGCCGTCAACAGTTGGTTACAAAGGTTGTACTATTCTGCATAACTCCACTATTTATGCTCCTTTTTCCACGAATAAAATACTACATGTACGAGCAGCAACCGGTGCTACGAAGAAAAAATATATATAAAATTGCACTTATTTGAAAAATACAGACGCATAATAATAATAATAATTAATAGCTTATCAAAAGAGAACGTCGACCTTAAACGGACGTAAAGTCTTAAAGCAGTTAATTAAAAAGTGTGCGAGCTGTAATTACCTCCCACTGCATCCACTCTAATGAACGGCTCAGTGCGCGAAGGCTTTCCATTTCTCATTCCCAAGATTCCCCTGCCATCTTTATTGCAGCAGCCCCTCTCCATTTTATATTATTATTATTATTTATTTATATATTTATTTTTTGCAACAAAACGCGAGTTTTTTTTTTTTTTTTTTTGGGACACCCGACTCACAGAGGAGGCCCCTGACAGCCAGGCCTATTCCCACGGATGCAGCCCCGTCCTTTCCTGAACTCTCAGCTCCGGATCTCCTCTGTTTATTCCCTCCCCTCTTTCTCTCTCTCTCTTTCTCTCCGCTTTTCCCAAAGAGAGGGTCTCAGGGTCTGCCCCCTTCCTCCCCCCCTTTTCAAAGACGCATGATCCGCACTAGTAAAAGAAAGGGGGGAAAAATAACTCTCCATGCACTGCCCCGGTTCTTTTTCTTTTTTTTTCTTTTTTCTTTTAGCCTGTGTTCTGCCTCTGCTGGGAGTGTCTGCAACTTGTTGCGCGCAGTTGGCAAAACATACATGCAGCTACGGGGAACGGTTTCGCTTCGGACCAGGCTGGGCTATAAATAGTGACGATCAAAACTCTTGCAAATAACACCACCCCCGCTGCATGTAAAAACGGGAATACTGTTGTTTTTTTTCTTGAACTTCTTCCCAGAAGCACGAGGATTGCTTAGGCTAAAAATGTTATGGTAAAGCCTCCACCCCCCATCTCAAAGCCTCCCAACTCCCAAACTTTTCTTTCTCTTTCTCTCTCTCTCTCTCTCTCTCTTTCTTCCAGGCCGTATTTCCTGCGTTTGGAGCGGAGACCCAGTTAGGAGTCTCTGCTTATTTGGAGATGAGGCTGGATTTCCTCCTCTCGCATTCCCTTGGAGCAAAGACGGGAGAAAATCCACAGAGCGGCTCTCTGGCTCTTGGTGATCCTCGTTTGGATTATCCAGAAAGAAAGGGGGGGAAAAAAACACTCTCCTTATCTCCAGATCGCAAGCAACTCCTCAGGTCTGGGTAGCACTAGTTTTCGCTGGCATGCATGTGTCCAACAAACACAACGCTGTGCGCTCCGGCGGTGGTGCGTCCTCTTCCGTCCGTTCGGTGGCTGGTTGCCACCCTTTCACTCCCACCCCCCCCTCCACACCTCCGCCCCTCCCTGTCTTAGCTCTCGGACGTAGTTAGGGTCTGGATAAAAACAAAAAAGACAGACGGCTGTCTGTTTCTCCGTCTCGTCCGGGCGACAGAAAGCTCCTCACTCTTGTAACTGCCACCATCTTCACTGCAAGTGGGTCGGAAATCCTTCCCCAGCTGGTTGGCCAGACCAGGCAGTCTGCGAAGTTAACTGTGATCCTCAAGAGCACTACTTCCGGTTTGGGGGCCTATATATTAAAATAAAATAAATAAAATAAAATAAAATAAAAGACGACTTAGAATTAGTACATTTAGAGAAATAATATGTTTAACCGGTGGTATTCTACAGGTTCATCATGATTGAAATGTATTTTAGTAGTTCAGTCGTGGCGTTCTGTTCTTGAAAACGTCAATATTCAGTTTGTCAGAAAATTTGATGATTACGTCACACCAATGAAAAATTACCTCTAGGAGTGAAAAGTTATTTTGTGAGCATGACCAAGACAATCGTAAGAAAGACTCACAATTAAAAATATAGCATAGCTCAGATGTTAATACTACTAGTAAAAAATAAATAAATAATGTATTTGTTTCTCATTTCATTACAGTTTAGATTTTCTGCTTTTCAACATATTCTTAAGTGGATTTAGGTCTGAACATTCAATGAGCGATCCCAACTGATGAATATACTCATGACCTGGACCTTTCAACATGCAGACAGTCCGTATGTTGACTGGAGTTACACAATTAATAATTAATAATTAGCCATTGCTGAGATTTGGGGTTGTTGTGCTCACAAATGGACGATTACGCTCATGTATACGGAAATATGAAATGAAGCCAATAATGGTGGTGAGTATTGTAAATAAAACGGTTTAATGTTGAATGTTAATGTTAAATCTAGAGCTTGAATGTACAAGTTGCTTTAGTCCTAATCGGGTTAAAATGTAACTACAAGCCACGACAGACTCCGCCGTTTTAGCAACCAGTAAACAAAGGAACAAATGTCTGTAAAAGAAAAAAATAGTATAACCAACAACAACAACAACAAAAAGAAAATAAGCAAAGTAAACTGCGTTTACTATTTGACTTTCAAATCAATGTTAAAAAGCAACATGCTTTTAATTTGAAGGCCAAACTCAACTTCTGATCTCTATATGCTTCCCTTTGTTTGATTTGACATCTTGTTGTCAATATTACCTGTAAATGCAGTTTTGGGCATTTGGATCATTGGCTATCACCTTTTTTTTTTTCTTCTTTTTTTTTTAGTTCGTATCGCCCACATTGCATTAAGTGTCAGTGGCTACGAAAAAAAAAACGTCTCAGTTTTGTTTTTTTCTTACTTTTTAGTGAACACTGTTCTTTTCTATATCACAAAATGTCAGAAAAAAAAAAGTATCCTCAAACATAGAGAGACCGACAGGTTTGACATTTGTAGAACCTTGTAGGTCAGGATCTTTTCTGATCCTGATCTGGACCTCCATGTCATTTTTGGTCAAAAGTTATACTAATTAAACGAATAAACTACTCTTCTTTGGCCCTTAGTTAATTATTTCTACTGTTCCTCCTGGGTAAAGTGATTATATGAATTATTTGATTTTAAAAAAGAAAAAAAATTTGATGCAAATGTTTGCATTTATTGTGGATTTTTTTTTAACGTACACCAGCTCAAAAATGACCCATAGATGCCTACATATAGTATATACCTCTTGATGCTACATATATTCATACATTCATATGTATCTCATTTGTTGCAATGTCTCTTAGCAAGGTCAACCTCATCATTTACCTCATCTTGCAACTGAAGTTGATCTCAAACTTGTTGTAAGTATATGGAGCTCAACTGGGGTCATAAAGATGGTTAAAAAATAATAATAATAAAATTTGAAACTGGAAAACAAAAAATAAATGAAAGTTTAACTCCATACAGGCCTTCCTGGGCAGGTCACCAGTCCTTTCTGTTAATATATTATTCTAATTATATGTTACTGTCGAAGATGGAGTACAATTTGAATATCAATCTCAGGAGATGTGTGACCTTTACACATTGTTCTTGTGAGAGAGCTTGGCATGTGGGTGGTGAGCTGAGAGCTTACAAAGAGAGGACTGTTGTGGGATTTGATAAAGCCTGTCTGATAGGTCTGCTCTGAAACTGTGCTGAGAGCCTTGGAGAGCCGCGGCTCAGCTCATCAAACACAGACGACAAGAGCTCCAGTGTGTGCTTGAGGGTGTAAGTTTTATTCATAAATCCACAGGTGAAGTCATGTAAAGTCAAAAATGAGCCAGAAGGGAAATGAAGCTGGTTCGCAGACTGAAAAGAGGGCAAGAAAGAGCATTTCAGCTAGTTTGGTGTTATGATTAAGGCTGGGAACTCTTTACTCTTGGTACGGTGAAAACTACAGTTGCATCGCTGTGAGGGTTTTCTCTGCAGAGCAGCTGATTGTAGACTGGCTACCAAAAGAGAGACCGACTAATGAACAAGCCAATATCAGTTTTACCTGTTACTCTGCACTGTAGAGTAACAGCATCTTCGCCCAAAACGAAGATGCCAAACTCATTTTTGTTTTGGGCCAAATCAAGATCACGAATCCTCTTAAAGGGCTGGTTGTGCCAAATGTACTGATAAAACCTGTTCACAAACTGTAAAAAAAAAATCAATCAATTCTTAAGATTGAATAATATTGTTGAACATCTTTTCAGTCCCTCCAGGATTTCATGATTCTTTTTGTGATTTTTTGCAATGAAAACCAAAGTATTTGTGGCACTAATTTGGAAATATTTGCAATACTTGTGCTTATTTGTAACGGTAAATGCAGCTTTTTATTACTCGCTGTATGGATAGTGGACTATAATCTGGTATCAATTAAGACTGAGGTGGATGTTTAGTACAAGTAAGAAGGTTTTGACAATTTTTTTTTTTTTAGAAAAATCTGCAATAAACTTTCAATTATTAGTGCAACAAAGAACGCAGATTTGTTGATTTTGTGTGAATTTCCATATTTCTCAAGAAACTGGAGGGACTGATTGATATAATTTGGTAGTAAACAGATAAAAATTGCATCAATTTGACTGAAAACATAATATTTAAGGACACTTAATGTTTAGTTTAGATAGAGGGCCACATAAAAAGCTATGGCAGGTGGGTTTTGGCCCACGGGCCTCAAGTTTGACACATTTTATATTTTGGCTCATAATAATGCATCAAAAAGAAGAAATGAAGTTCCCATGAAATGTACTCACCACCTTGGATGTTTGACTCTTTTACTGCTGTGGCAAATCAGTCTCGATCAATGAAATGTAGCTTTTTTTGACACAAAAAAAAAGAATTTCAAAATGAAAACTGATTTCTACAAAAACAAAAGAAAAGAAAATTGGCTAAAAATATGTAGCATAAAATCGACAATTCTGCTAGCTTTTCTAAAGCTTGAATCAGTTTCAGCTCATGCAGATTTATCTTCAGAGAAAATTAAACTTTGACTCACTAAACTGCAGTGATCCAGAGATCATAACCAGCTCATCAAATATGTTCAGAACAGAGAGGGGACGTAAGAATGTGTAAATCCAGTGCAAATTTTGTTTATTTGCATAAACAGCTACATGCTACTTTTATCTTTTTTTTCTCCCTCTGCATAATATGTTATTTATTTCGAGATTTTACTTCCTGTTTGCTTGGCAAGGCAATCCCAAACTTATTTTCATTCTCTACCTTTGAAAATCGTTTGAGTCGACGCATTGAACCGAAGCGCCATCTGGTGTCAATTTTTAGTCACTGCAGCAGAAAATGACCGACAGCTATAAGGAATCAGCCTTTTTATTACCTCAATAATAGGAATATATTAGCATTCTGCTGTTACACAGTTACAGTCCTGTGAAAATAATTATTTGTTCTTTATTAAGACTTTATTAAGACATATTCACACATTAATGCCAAACCCTTTTTTATTATTTTTTATTAATCTCTAAAAAAAACACACACACTCCTGAAAATAACATTTTACTAGATGTCTAGATTTGTTGGTAAGAAAAAAAAGTTAGTATATCTTACCCCCTAAGAGTGTTAACCCCATCGGTGGAAACGTTTTCTCTTCTCGAAACACTTCTTGCTGCCATCTTTTTGTCTTTCACATCTGTCCGCTCCTCACTTTCAGCTTTTTGATGTTTGAAGGATTTCTTTTTTTTTTGTTCACTCTAGATTGAGTCACCTCACATTATTATCTCAGTGAGATCAACAACTGATCTTGAATCGTTCAAGAACTGGCTTTCCATTTTAATAACTTTCAGCCAGGCTAAGATGGATTTACTGGTATGATTGGATCATTCTTTGTTGCAGGGTCCAGTTCTGCTCCAGCTTAAATGGTTTTACAGCTGATGACACATTTTCCTCAAACATCCTCTGACACCATGGTAGAATCCATGATGGACTCCGTTATGGAGAACTGGTTTGGTGGTGCGTCAGCAAAATGTCCCCAAACTCTGAAACTTGGCCCTCTATTCTTCACAATTGACCTATGCCAAACCCTATCTTAGCCAATGCCTTCCTGAGCAATTCCACTCAATCCTGATTTATCTTCACTGCTCTGTCTGGGATTTCTGCCATTTAAGTGGATTTCTCCGGAAGAACAGCAGGAGAAGTTCAGGTTTGGTTCAGTTTCGATACCAGAACATTAGGCTTCAGTCAAAGGGATTTCACAAAGGAAACGGTGCTGCTGTTGTTTTTGTATCCTGGTTGTTTACTGGCACACAAAACAAGGACACTATTAGAGTAAATACTGATTAAGGACCCAACAGAGTGCATTTTAATGGAAAATGCCAATATGGTGCGCTGCAGAACTGAGGTGAAAATAAACAACAGCTCAAAGTTTTGAGGGGAAAAATACAGCTAGGAAATTGTAGCACATTTATTTCTTTCAGTTATCCTAACCTTCTCAGGAGATGTTGAGAAAAAAAGTAAAGTTTATGTATTAGAACAAAACATAGTTCAGAGGGAAGTTACAGTGGAAACAGAGTGAGAACCCTTCTTATTTTATTAGGACAAGTTGTCACAAAACTCTGCTGTTTGTCTGAATTACAGCGGTTCAGATCTGAAAATATAAAACATTTCAAGGTCAGCTTTCCTTTTCAATCCCAGGAGCAGTGTGGTCGCTTCCCGATGAATCCTCTGATTAAAATGAATAAAAGAACGAGGGACATCAACAAGAAACTGAAAAATAATTTCTCTAAAACATAAACACGGAAGTGTATTTTTGCTCTAGATGTTCAATAAAGTTTGAAAATTAAAACTGTTGCAGAGAGGAATTTAAGAGACAGTGAAATTATTTGCTAAATGCCAAACAAATAAAATTCTACTCCAGCAATATCAAATGTAGCAGTTCTTGGCACCTCTGGTAAAAGTTTGTTTGAAGGTTTGTATGAAAAACCTTCAATTAAGATAAAATAAATTAAATCACTGGTGCCACAAAAATCAGGATTCCCTAAACTTCCTATAATAAAATGTTAGTGAAGCGTTGAGGAGGTAATTCACCCATTGGCCCTGGACGACTGTTGTTAGATGCTATCTAAATGCCAACCAGCTGTTTGGGAAGCATGCCAGGAAAAAAGCCTTTTCTGTCCTAACAATCATATATGTAAAGGCCGTTTGGCAAACTGTACTGGGATTTTAACTAGCTGCTTTGGTGAGTGCAACAAAGAGTCGGGTCTGATGTGAAAAATAATTAATTCTTAGAAAAGCACCTTATTCTCCACTGTTACGCATGGTGGAGGTTCTGTGATGCGCGATGGGTTTGTATCGCTCCTAAATAGTCTGGAAATCTAGTTAGAGTGCATGGCATTGTGAACTGTGTTAGACGCCGAAAGATTTAGAATGAAAATCAGTGGATCTCTGACCGGAAGACTGAAACTGGATCGCCATAGGGTTGTTCAAGTGAAAAATGAGCAGAGAAATTTGGCTGAATGGATGCAGAAACGGCTCACGAGTAACTAAATCAACCTTCCTTCTCACTTCCTGAGATGTAAATCCTATAGTTGCCCAGGTGGGGGAGCCGAAGAGTAGAGAACTTAAGACTGGATGACCTACTGAGTTTGTGTGAAGAGGAATGGTCTAAAATATGGTCTGTATGCTTAAAACTTGTAAAATATTGTAAGAGAAGTAGGGGCGCAAATAAGTGTGGCACCAATGATTTGGTGAAAAACGAACAGATTTTTTGTTTCCCCACTTGTATTTAAATTTAAAGTTAAGGTAAATAAAATGAACTGAATAAATGTATGATAGAGTAAAACATAATTAACTTAGGGGTTTTTACACATCTTGATAAAGGGTCCCAATAAATGTAGAGGACCCTGTATTGTTTTCCTCTGCTTTCAAATGCAACTAACAGAACATGTACCGCAAATGTTCTTTCCATTTAAGTAGTAACACAAAATATCCTGAAGTCCATTCAGTATCTGGTTTTCTGCCCATTTCCAGTCTTCCTGGAGCTATTCCTGGAATCCACACCAGTGGACATTATTTCAGGAAACTCTCTGGCTGCCCTCTGCCTCATCTCTCCCTTGGCTGCCTCCTGTCCTCTTCCCTTCCATCTCACTGCTTCCTCCAGGGGTTTTTGGGTTTCTCCTCACACTTTGGACCCTCGCATGTACCGGGGAGAGGCGGCGGGTTTGCTGGGGCAGCCTTTGCCGGGGCGGGTGCCCCTGAGCTCTTGGTGACGCTGCTGAGCAGAGCCGGAAGCTCGTGCGAGATGGCCTTCTCGATCTTCTCCAGCAGGCATCCGTCAGTCCAGCTGCAGTGCTGAGAGAGTTGCTTGAAGTTGGAAATGGGGTTGACCCCAAAGAAGTCCTGGTAAGCCTCCTTGTCGGGCAGGTCGAACTTGCTGACGTTGCTCTTGGCCAGAATGGACTTGAAGATGTAGTACTTATCGGGGTCGTTCACCACGTCTTGGAAAACCTCGTAGGGGTCTCCGAACCAGCCCAGCTTGTCGTAGTAGGTCTGAAGGTAGCGGTCCACCAGCAGAGCATGGATGCGTACACGGATGGCGTGCTGGCGAATGAAGGCGATTTTGTTTTCTATCTGATTCTCAACCACCTGCACGGACAGAGGCAAGTTTAACCTGTTGTTCACAGGTTGTCATTCACAATGACAGGGGTGTCAAACTCCAGTCCTCAAGGGCCGCTGTCCTGCAGTGTTTAGATGTGCCACAGGTAAAAAACAGTGGAATGAAATGGCTTAATTACCTCCTCCCTGTGTAGATCGGTTCTCCTGAGCCTTGCTAATGACCTAATTATTCTTTTCAGGTGTGGTGCAGCAGAGGCACATCTAAAAGTTGCAGGACAGCGGCCCTTGAGGACTGGAGTTTGACACCTCTGTCACGAGAGGACCCAAATTTGGGTCCTCTCGTGAATAACAGGTTAAGGAACATAAATAAGAAAGCAAAGGCAAGAAACAAGAACTCGTAGGAGAATACAGCTTTGATTGGTGGTCTGTCCAGGGTGTAGGCGCTGACAACTAGCCCTAATGCCACCCTGCAAGGATTAAACGGGTATGGAAACTGAATGGAAGAATAAATTCCATCATTCCACCTGGACCTAAACTCTGACACTGTTAAAGTTTTCTGTTGCTAATGAAAAACACCTACCCATTAGGGCAACAACTAACTATTTTGGTAATCAATTATTCTGATAAAAAATAAATAAATTAGCACATTTCACAGATTTTTCCTTTAATCACTTAAGCCTTTTTTATATAATCTGAGAAATACATTAAAAGATACAAATAAACACAATTAACCTATCAGAAGCTTCCAAAGCCATGACCTCGTCATCTGGGCTTTCTCTTATTGTTTAAGCAAATATAAATAATTTTGGTAATTCTAACTCACCTAAAACAAACAAACAAAAAAGCTTGGTCTGTCTTAACTTCAGACAGCGAGAAAAAAGAAAAAGAAAAAAAAAAAACCCTGTGTCATTTTGAAAACTTCTGGTTTTCATTCTAGATATTTAACAGCAGTGGCCCAAAGACGGAGCCTTGAGAAACTCCCCGCAGACCCTCAGCAGCGAACCACAGAATCACCTCGAGGTTACTGAACAGAAAGCAGTGAGCTTAACCTGGTTGAGATCCTCCAGCAGGGAGATTTCCTCCTTCATGAAGAGCTCTCGGCTGGTGTCTGGAGCGTAGTCCTGCGGCCAGAAGGAGCTGACATACACGCGAGGCGGCTCTGTGACATTGACGAGCGGCGCCATGCTCCAGAACAGGGCCCCGTAGACCCTCATCAGGTCCTGCGTAGAGAGGCTGTCGGCCTTGTTGAGGATGAGGCGAATCTGGGACTCGCGGCCCTTCATCTGGCGGAAGAGAATCTCCAGCTCGCCCCCCACGTCCAGCTTGGTGGGGTCGAACACCAGGAAGATGAGGTCGGCTCTGTCGATGAACCACTGGCACACATCGTTGTAAGGGTAACCTGTGAAGGTGAGCTAGGTTAGCTTCGGCTGTGCAATTTCTATGGAAAAGACTAAAAGTTTGATGGCTTTCTTCGAGCAATACCTCTCCTCTAGCCACCTTTCTATGGAGGACAGATTTTTGGACTGATCCTCACCTCTTTCCTGCTGCTTGCGGTTTTCAATGATGCCTGGTGTGTCAACAAAGGTGACCCTCTCCAGTAACTTGTGGGGCATCTCAATGCCGACCAGTCGCTCCAGGAAGCCCTGACCGAACTTCTCCAGCGGAGAGAAGGACCGTGAACTGTCTGCTGCCATCACGATGCCCTCTATGGTGCGAAACCTCTCCCCGTGCATGATGACAGTGTACTCAGATGTGGTGGGCTCAGCACCTGGTGCACGGATGAAAAGAAAGGGATTTTTTTCCCCCCTGGAGCATGCACCAAAATCAGAAACTGTCAGGTTTTATTTGTGCCAACCTGTGTAAAGTTCCTGGGGAGTGCCATGGAGACCCAAAAGGTAGTTGATCATCGAGGACTTTCCAACGCTCCACGGTCCGAGAAACAGAACCATTGGCTTTGAGGTAATCTCACCCGCTACAAGATGCAGTCCAAGTGTAGAAGTTATTGGTTAACAGGTACTTCTTCTGGAACATGCCTAAACCACCTGCCGGTAATTTCCATTAAAGCATTTAGTGAATTTTATGTACACCCCTTGAAAGTTGCATCCAAAACTCAGCTGGATTCAGTGCTGGACCAAAAAGGAGAAAAACGCTAAAATAGAACGACACACTAAGTAAAGTCCCCGTATCAACACTGATACAAGAGCTTTCATTAGTGTGTGATACATGGTACCACACATTATCAACATTATAAACTTCCTCCATCGTTCTATTAACTCCAGTCAGCTTCCCTGTCCTAAAGAAAAGCATCTCCACAGAATGATGCTGAAAAAAACGAAAAATTTGTTTAAAACCATGTGTCCTTTTCCTTAAAAAAACAAAAAAACAAAAACAAAACTATGCTTTACTTTTGTGTTTTCTCTCAAATAAGATATAAAATAAATCATCCAGTTTTGTAATGAACACTTTTGCAAGGCACTGCTCCTGCAGATTGATCTGACTCGTAAAAGTTAGCTTACGCCACTTTTGGTCTCGCCATTGTTCTCCAGAGGAAGAGCCAGCAGCACCTACCTGTAACTTCATGTTGCCTGAGCTCGTTGTACTTAAAGACTTGTTCCATTGGCTTGATGGACTTATGGTAGATGTTTAACAGTCTCTTTATGGCGCCTAAACAGAGAAAAGCAGAGAGAGAGAGAGAGAGAGACAGACCCATAACGGCTAATGCCAAAACCTGCTTCGGCTGTGGATGATGAAAAGACCCTATAAAATTTACTGTACAGATCGGAGGCAATAAAAGGCCTGCCCTGTTGTAGCTCATAACTTTCCTAACAGGAACTGCTCTGATTCAACAAACTGTAGAGGCTTTCATAATCAGGACAGCATCACTTTTGGTCTGATTAATCGCCCTCATTTGTACACACGCACTCACATGGTACATCATGCGCACACACTTTGGCCCAGACATCATGAAGCAATCATCAGAATGGCTGCAGCACGGCGACGCAAAAAAAAAAAAAAAAAAAAAAAAACCTTTTTTAGGCCATTTTTTTTTTTGCGCGAACATTCGGTTTCTTTTTTGTTT